TCTCCAATCACAGTCCTGGAGTTGGTCTCCATGTAGATGGTCTCCAATCACAGTCCTGGAGTTGGTCTCCATGTAGATGATCTCCAATCACAGTCCTGGAGTTGGTCTCCATGTAGATGGTCTCCAATCACAGTCCTGGAGTTGGTCTCCATGTAGATGATCTCCAATCACAGTCCTGGAGTTGGTCTCCATGTAGAGTGAGTCCACAGGGGGTCCTCACTTCACAGCCTTTCCCTGTTAGCACAGTATATAGGCCTGCTATACTGGAGGAGTGAAGTCATATAACACATGTAGAGAAACTCCTGACTTGTAGGAAATGTCTCATCAATGTGAGCTTTGTTACTCAGAAGTCATGTGACCTTGGACTCTTACTTTCCCGCTCCAGGCCTTAGTTATCAATTAGATTGAGGTGGGGGTTGATGATTCTCAATCTGGTTTTTCTTTTCTCTTTGGAATAATGTGGGAAGTAGAGATAAATCTAAGATCCATGTTTCTTTATTTGATCTGATATGGGTTTCAGTATCTGAAATAATAAACGTCTCCAGAATATTCTAATATGAAGCTTGGGTTTAAATTATTTTCAGATACATTTTATGAAAAAACATGAGATATTTGTGATTAGTCCCTTGATAGACCTGTTACGTCACCAAGCTGAGGCAGAACCAACCCGTACGCTTCAGAATAGCAGTGTCCACCATGCTGCACACAATACCCTAGAGATCAAGTAATTGGTTTTTCTTATGAATATTTCTCTTATGAGAAATGCCAGGAACATTTCTCAGGGAGGAGACCCCAGGGTCGCCAAGATCCAACCAAGGCAGAACACTGTTCAACTCCAATCTCAAGGCACAACTCTCATATATTGCACAGGGCTGCAGAGGAACAATCTCTGAGGCCTGATGTTTCTCTTTCACTGAGAACTCTAGCTTAATAAGCACAGTATGTTACTGAGCTCTGTCCTTCAACCTTCTCATGCTCTTCTGCTCTCTATAATTAGCCCCTCTGGAGGAAGTGCTTGCAGTCCTGATTGTGCTGTAAAAGCCACTGGACAACTTAGTAAGATCACTAAGAAAGAGGAGGATGTCAGGGTGCAGAACAGCGTTTCTCAGCCTGTGATTCATGACCCATCTGCTGGTTGAACAGAACAGCAGTTTCGTATCAGATATTATGATTTATTAAAGTAGTAAAATTACAGCTATGAAGCAGTAACAAAAATAATTTTATGGTTGATGGTCACCACCACATGAGGAATAAAGGGTTGCAGCATTAGGAAGTTAAGGGCAGAGATTCAAACTCCTCAGAGTTTTGGTGGGCTTGGGTGCATAAATGACCCAGGTAAAAATATCTGATGATAAACTCCTTGTGTCCTCTCTAATGGTTCCCTCCTAACCACTTTAATTCCAGAAATGAAGACATCAGATACTGCTAAAATCCTTGTAGCTGTGCTCCTTGTACCCAAAATGCTACTGGTAATCGGTGCCTCTGCCATCTACATGTACAAGAAGCAGAAGGCCTGACGGTAAGTTAGGAGGGATGGAGGGGGTGTTAGTTACCATCTCTTGACGTGACAGCATAGTACGATGAAAACCACTTGCAGAATAAAGGGTTTCTAGGGTCTCACTGTTCCAGCAGCCTGAGTCCATCAAGACTGAGAAGTGTGGAAGCAGATCAGGGAGTAGAGAGCTCACATCCTCAGTGGAGAGCATGAAACACAGAGGATAAACTGAAAGTGTGACAAGTTTTTAATTTCACAGCTCACCTCCTTAACATACTTTCTCTGGAAGGGCTGCACTGCCTAAACTTCACCAAAAAATAACACTGACTGAAAAACAAATGTATATTAGAATATAGAGATTATTTCTTTTTGAGGGAAAAATTTTTAATAATATATTTACTAATAGTACATTTTAAGCTCTCTGTGTGCTAGATCATATTCCAATAGATTTATTTACATGAGCTCTTTTATTTTGTACCATTCTGCTATTTTCCCTGAATGGTAACCTTGAACTTAGATATATATCCTTTACTATCTATCTCAAGCTCATAGGCACTTGGCTTTGAAATATTGTTTATATTTTATTATTTTTAATTGGGATATATATATACATATATATGTGTGTATATATATATATCCCTACTCCCTTTCCTTTCCTCCTCTCTCTGCTTCTGCTCTCCCCCTCTGACCCCTAATCTCCCAGTTGACTCAGGAGATCTTGTGTTTTTCTCCTTCCCAGTCAAATCCATGTATTTCTCTCTTAGGGTTTTCTTTGTTGTCTAAGTTCTCTGAGGTTGGGGATTGTAGGCTGGTTATTCTTTGTTTTATGTCTAAAACAACTTATGCGTAAATATATTCTTATCCATTCTTCAGTTGAGGAGCATTGAGACTGTTTCCAGGTCTGGACATTACGAATAATGTTGCTATAAACATGGTTGAACAAATGTCCTTTTGGTATTATTGAGCATCTTTTGGGTATACGCCTAAGAGTGGTATTTCTGGGTCTTGAGATAGAATGATTCCTAATTTTCTGAGAAATTACCGTACTGGTTTCCAAACTGATTGTACCAGTTTGCACTCCTAGCAGCAATCGAGGAGTGTTCCCCTTACTCCACAACCTCTCCAGCATAAGTTGTCATCAGTATTTTTGTTCTTGGCCATTCTGACAGGTGTAAGATGGTATCTCAGAGTTGTTTTCATTTGCATTTCTCTGATAGCTAAGGATGCTGATATTTCCTTAATATCAGCCATTTGAGATTCCTCTGTTGAGGTTTCTCTGTAGATTGCTTTTGGTAAGATTGGCATTTTTACTATTTAATTTTACCTATCAAACAACATGGGAGAATTTTCCATTTTCTGGTGTCTTCTTCAATTTCTTTCTTCAAAGATGTAAAGTTGGGGCTGGAGAGATGGCTCAGAGGTTAAGAGCCTTGTGTGCTCTTCCAAAGGTCCTGAGTTCAATTTCCAGCAACCACATGGTGGCTCACAACCATCTGTTATTGGGTCTAGTGCCCTCTTCTGGCCTGCAGGCATACACACAGACAGAATATTGTATACATAATAAATAAGTAAATAAATAAATATTTTAGAAAAAAACCAAAGATGTAAAGTTCTTGTCTTACAGGTCTTTCACTTGTTTTCTTAAAGTTATCCTAAGATACTTGATGTCATTTGTAGCTATTAAACAGATGAAGTTTCTCTGATTTCTCTCTCAGACCACTTATCATCTATATATAGGAGGGCTACTGATTAAAGTGTTTATCAATTATAGGAGTTTCCTGGTGTTATTTTCAGGGTCACTTATGTAAATATATCAGCAAACAATGAAACTTTGACTTTTTCTTTTCCAATTTGAATTCCCTTGATCTTCAATTTTTGTCTTATTGCTGTAGCTATAATCTATAACTTCAAGTATGTGGACTACTTCATGCCTATAAACACTTGAAATTGTATTGCTATTATTTGCTAGTCTACTTTAATATACCATCCGATTTTCTTAATTCTACTAAATAATTTATTGTTGAATAAATTCTGAAATAAAAAGAATTTAGAAAAGTCTGTCCTAAGAGTAAATGTCTCCCTTCCACCTATAATTTTGTTTTTTATTGTTTTATTGCTTTATAAATAATACCGTTCAAAATAAAAAATAAGGAATGCTTCATGAGTTTGTGTGTCATCCTTGCGTAGGGGCCATGCTAATCTTCTCTGTATTGTTCCAATTTTAGTATATGTGCCGCTGAAGCGAACAGAAACTAATTTCTTAGAGGTCATCTCCCCTAAACATCCTGTACAATTTCAACCCCTTCTCTCTCTCTCTCTCTCTCTCTCTCTCTCTCTCTTAACCATAATTCTTGATTGATTCTATGGGAATTTCACATCATGCACCCACTTCTGCTCACTTCCCAGTGTCTCCATATCTGTCCATGACCCTTGCAGAATTCCCTCTCAAAAGAAAACCCTGCAAAATTAATTAACTAAATGCCACCCAGATCAATGTGACCATAGCAGCAGCTTTGCACACAGACACCAACATAGTCTCATCCTGATGGCCTTAGGTGGTAACAGGAGCCACAGACATCAACTCAGATCCTGGCTGCTGTAGAGACATGGAATCAGACATGACTCTTTACAGCAGCCCAGACTTGGGCAACCATGGCCCCATGTAGCAGCAGAAGTCACTCAGATTGCCGTGGCCCCTACGGCAGGACAGGACCCACACACCAACATAACCACAGGTTATGGTCTATACTCAGGCATCCATGTGGCCTTTGGTGTCAACATGGTCCATGCATACCCACATAGACCCTGGCTGTGGCAATAACATGGACCCAGACTTGTCCTGGGCAGCAGTCTGAGCCTGGATATCACCATGGCCCCAGAAGGACACTCAGATTGGCACCACTCAAGTGGTTGTGTGGCCCTTAAACAGCAACATGGCCCCAGGTAGCATTCCAGAGCCCCAAGCACTGGCATGACCTTCAGTGGATTCAGAAGCCACAGACATCAACACAGACTCTGGCTGCAGTGGGACCACAGACCTATACATGTCTCTACACCACGGCTTGGGCCGACATGGCACTTGGTAGCAGCACAGGTAATTCAGCTCAGCATGATCACAGTGGCAGAATGATCTTTAAGCACAAAAATGGTCACAGGTGGCAGACAAGACTCCAGAAATCCTTGTGGTCTTTGGTGGCAATATGGGTCATGAGTGTCAACACAGACACTGGCTGCAGCAGGACCACAGGACGCCGACGTGGTCCTCAACACAGTCTGGATAATGAGTCACCCTGACCCCAGGTAACAAGCAGCCCACCCACATCAGCCAGGTCCTCATCATGGTCTTTGCTTCTTCAATCTGCTTCTTTCCACAGCACATGAACTGTTCTGCTTTACTTCCTCTACAATTTGTCCATCATGTCTTTGCTTACTATACCAGCACCTCCTCATATGGCAGAACGTGAAGGTGTCTTTAGCCAACCAGAACTGTGAGGACCCATGCTGCCCATGGTTATCTTTCACCCACAATATCTTTATGGCACCAAACAGGCCTGTAGATGACTTCAGCCAGCCTAGACTGTCAATCACTTACTCTTGTGATATAGTCTTAATCTCAAGTCTGGAAATTGTTCTAATATACTCTTGAAAATATGAAGAGTCCCTTTCTGAGTGCATCTGGGTGTTTGGAATCCATTGTCATGGGTTGACCTTCACTATGTTGTAAGAGGCCTCTTGTTCATTTACTGGCTGCCCAGACTCCTGAAACAACCACACCTATGTGCAGAGACACAGATGTCTCCCTCTCACTCTCTTTCTCTTTCTATCTCTCCTCTCTCTCTCCTCTTTCTCTTTCCTCTCTCTCCTCCTTCTCTCTCTCTCTTTCCTCTTTCTTCTCTCTTTCTCTCCTTTCTGTCTCTCTCATCTCTCTCCTCTCTCTCTTCTCTCTCTCCTTTCTCTCTCTCTCCTCTCTCTGTCCTCTCTCTCCTTTCTCTTTCCTCTCTCTCTTCTCTCTCTCTCCTTTCTGTCTCTCTCCCCTCTCTCTCCTCTCTCTCCTTTCTCCTCTCCCTCTTTCCTCTCCTCTCTCTCCTTTCTCTCTCTCTCTTTCCTCTCCTCTCTCTCCTTTCTCTCTCTCTTTCCTCTCTCTCTCCTCTCTCTCCTTTCTCTCTCTCTCTCCCC